GCCCATCTCCTGACCCCCCCCCCCATTACTTCCATTGGTTGCAGGCCCAGCACAGCTCCGGTTTCCCCAAATTGCTCCACTCCCAGCAAGCATGGTACAGCTCCTGGCCTCTGCTACCTGGCCCACAGCCTCTCTCAAGGCTCCCCCCCACCGCTATTCCTAGTGGCTTTTGGCCTCTGCTGCTGAGCTCACTGCATTTCCCAGCCCCTCTGCCTCCATTTGCAGTAAGCCCAGCATAGCTCCCGGCCTGGCCCACTACAAAGCCATCAGCCCATGTTGGAGCCACCAGAGGAGGTAGGTTCATTGTCTGCATGCACGGACAACAAATGTGTTTTTGGAGGAGGGATTTAACACCTCTATTGTGTGTTTTTTAGAATGTTCAGATTTTTCTGAAAACCTGGGGAGACCCCTAGATTTGCAGAACAATCTGTTATGAGCAGGTGTGGCCCCTATCCATAGGTTTAGATATCCACAGAGGGGGCCACACTTGAGAAATAATAGATAAACATGTCCAAGGAAAAGGCAAGTTTGACTTTTCACAATCTTAACAGACATTTCACTATACCATGATACAGCTATACAAGGCATTCTGCATGAAACTTTAGCCATATTCATAAGTAACACTTTATTCATGTACTAATTAAAATTCTACTTTTACTTGTGGCTTAAGGCAGCTTACAAAGTCATAGTTAAAACATTACAGTTTAAAACCAGTAGTTACTTAGATGTAAGGCAAGTTGCATTTTCAGCATCTGTATCTCCAGTGAAAAAGATATATTTACTACCTTGTACATGTGATGTTAAAAACTGCTTTCTTGTATGTTCTTATGCATGAAATTAACATTTAGAAATAATCCTTTCCTGGCTGAAGGCATTCTTATCTTGGTATTTGCCAAATGCCTCAGCATGGGATGTCTTCCATGTTTCACAACACCAGTTTTGGTTACAATCATAGTTTCCTGGATGTGATTGGAGCAAGGCTGTTAGCTGAAAGATACACTTTAAGCATACTTCATAAAGTACATTTTAAAGTCCTACATGGTTTGTAATTATCCCACTGTATGTCTAACATTGTAAAAATATTGGGTTGAGTTCAAGCCCCTGTTGTGTGAGTGGAAATCATTTGTATGTGGTATGTATGTATATCATGGTTTCTGCAGATTCAGTCTTCCCTGTTCCCAGGGTTTCCTGACTCTCTGTTCAGGAGACTGCAGAAAGAGGGAGGAAAGCCTCATTCTGGAAACAGTTGTGCAGGTCCCATTCTATGGCAATGAGACTATAACACAAAAGTAGTACATAATACCGTTTTTATATAATTTCTATGGATCTGTCCCAGAATGTTGAAACCAGAACAAAAGTTGCTTAGCTAGCCTGGTGTAGTCGCTTTTATTTGTTCAGTATAAATGCAGGCATTATGAAGTACCAGAATGGGCCCTGTAGAGATGTGAAAGCCTGGAAGCATTCAGGTGGAAAACCCTGAATGTGTTTTTTTCCAGTTTTTCTGCTGGGAAATTTGGGAAGCACTGAAAAAAATCATATGAAATATTTTCTCTTTTTGAATATGTAAAATGCTCTCTAGGGCAGAGGTCATTTCGGGGGGATCGCGGGGGAACGTAGTCCCCCCGGGTGAGGTGCGGGGGGGTGGGGCACATGACGAAGCTCCGCCCCCTGCTTCCATCCGCCCCGCTTCCGGCCCTCATTCAGCCAGGAGGAGGCAGGAGAAGAGGGAGGGTAAGTTGCTTCCTCCCCGCCTCTCCCCACCCCTGCCTGCCTGGAGCCAGGGAGGGTCTTGGCGGGGCTTCCTCACACTCCCGCTGGCCTTGCAGGTCCACCGCCGGGCCCCTGATGTCAGGGGGTGTGGCATATGCTAATGAGTTATGCTAATGAGTTCCCCTAGCTCTTTTTCTACGAAATGACCCCTGCTCTAGAGCAATGTTCTTCACACTGAAAATGTATATCATGAAAAAGTCAGGACTTTTTCCAGTTTTTCCAGTGGAAATTTGGGTTGGGGGAGTACTGAAAAAAACCACTCTTACATATGCAACATTATATTTTTTTTGTTTAGATCTAAATAATTTCAGCAACAATTAATATGCTATAACATGTTTAAGGACAACACATTATTAAAGTATTCAGCATTTTTAATGTTCTAAATAAAGACACATATAAGATATAAATGATGCATTTTATGTTGTTTAATCAGTAAAAGAAGTTTAGGCTTGATATTAAAGTAAGAATTGCATGTATTTCAATTTTTCCCAACAATTCACGTTTTTTTCTGAGGAACAAAAATTGAACAAAACAGGGTTTTTTCCCCTGCAGCTTCAGAATTTCTGGAAATTCTACATCTCTAGGGCCCTGTAATTATTTAATAGTAATCTCTGGAGAATTGAGGTTTATTACAGAACTTTAGTTGCTGTAGATTTTCCGGGATGTGTGGCCATGGTCTTGGCATTGTAGAACCGGACGTTTCGCCAGTAAATGTGACTGGCATCCTCAGAGGTATAAACACAGAAAGATGGAATACTCTCTGGGGCTTGCTATTTTATTGTTGGTTTAGGAGAAAATGTTTTTAACTATTATTGTATGCTGTCTTGAACCTTGGGGAAAGGTGGGATATAAGTGTTTTAATAAAATAAAGGAGGGGGAAAGATGAGATAAGGAGAGTACAGGACAGACAAAAGAAAATACTTGTTTACTCAACAAGTAATTTGTGGAATTCGCTGCCAGAAGATATAGTGATGGCCAGGAGCCTAGACGGCTTTAAAAGGGAGTTAGATTCTGGGAAGGATATCAGTGGCTCATCTACCATGGTAAGTAAAGAGAATCTCCATATTCAGAGGCAGTAAACCTTTGAAACCCAGTAAAAAGAAGCAACATCAAGGGAGACCCTTGGCTTCTTTGCCCTGTTTGTTGGCCTTGAAGGGCAACTGGTTGACCACTGTGTGAAATGGGATGCTGGACTAAATCGGATCACTGATATGAATCAGCAAGGTTCTTCTTATATTCTTACCTGATGTATGATAAAGGAAGGATGGAAAGAAGAAAGTAACAGTAATCAGGGTGAAAGATTATCAGGACAGAGACCAGAGCCAAGGAGTTGGTGATGTTAAAGTGCATGTCTGAGGAGAGAAGCCGCATTGACTTAGCAACAGATTGATTCTTTCCTCCTCTTAACAATATTCAAAGTTGAAGCCTGCTTGATTGGGAGCATGCTGGTGATGATGTCAGTAAAGAGGAGTTGAGGGCTTGAGATAAAATATAAAGTCTACATACTGAGATTTTGATGGAGATATGGGAATAGTTTTGATCTGAAGTATTTCTGTCTTTGCCTTTCTATCCTAGCACACTTGCAATTGGTTATATCAACCAGCAAGGCCCCCTGTTGCCCCAGAATCAATCAAGATGTGCAATAGTGCTGGAACTCTGACGTTGCTAGGTAGTTGGACACACTTGTTTCCATCATGTATATGAAAGCAACAAAGTGCAGTTATTCTTAGAGCAGGTTGCCAGGCAAAATAATGCTGTGTGATGGCAGGGTAACTGGTTGATCTTTTCCTTCTACATGCTCAATCATGAATAGAATAATAATTAACCAAATTCAAATGTTTGCTCTTGCATATAGCAACTAGAATTATGCTAGGAAGTAAATTGAAATGCTGAAATTTGCTTTCATAAGATTGACAATGGAGACTGTACAAATATTGGTCAGGTTATTTTGACTATGGCATTGTCATTTTAGAGATACCATAATTCCATTTCACACTGTCGTGCTTATCTCCACATTTTTAGATGCAATGTAAAAATCATTCAAGATTGTAGACACATTTCTTTTCTGTGGGCCTCTGGGTAATACCAGAACACTTCTGTGTCTCCCCAGGAATAGCTTTGGAATGTTCTGGAATTTTAACCATTAAATAACTGCTGAAATCTCTTCTGGGAAGGGTGAATCTGATTATCCCTAATGAAGATTTGTTGTTAAAGATGCCTTCTAAACTTCTGCTTTCTCGTCTTATGTTGTTACCTCTGAATGTGAGACATGAAAAATTGGTGCTATTGATCCTCAGAATGCTTCCCATATCTAGTGAGGCTGGGCAGATTTTTATCAACTATTTTTACATGGAAAATATTAATCTCTAAAATTGGATTCATGAAAATATTTTTATTTATTTTATTTAAAACATTTATATGCTGCCTTTCCACCCAAGTAGGGTCCCCAAGGTGTCAAACATTTTAAGGCATTAAAACAACTAGTAGCATTACAAGTGGATGTAACACCAGTAAAAATGGGCAGCTGTGAAACTGTAGGTTTCTTTTTTGTAGTCTTTCTAAGCATCATACATATTGATCATACATGTATGCACATGACACTCTCCTCTCTTTTGCACTTATGCATTGTAAATCACATTAGTTATGCTCTATAATTTTTTTCATAATCAGATATTTAATTCCAGCTGCTCTTGGCTCTTTTGAGATCGTTAACCACCATATAAAAATAACCCTGTTTACTTTGTTTATTCAGTATTCAGTATTCAAATAAACATGTGAAATCAGATCTGAGGTGATTTACATTGGGGGAAAATTCTGTTTCATGATTTTACATCTCTGCCTGTTGGAAAGCAACCTAAACTGACATAATGTCAGAATATTGTTCCTTGGCTGAGTTTTTTTGGTCCCATGTGTTCTATTAACACATCCATACCTCTTTATTGGTCAGTGGCAACTTGATTGGAACTATTTGGGAAGCCTTCTGTGAAGTTCAGGCAGATTTTCCATCAAGATGTTCATGACTCTACTTAAGGTCTCTTGGATATCCTTGTTTTGTCCAACTTTCCAGAAGCCTGCCTGCTTGCCTGTCTGTCTGCTATCTGTTTTCCCTCTATGGAGGTCTGGAATGGTAGCCCAATAAAATCACTGTCTGAAGGTTTTGGGACATTGTTCTGCAACGGCTGTTAAATTTGGGTATTCTGATTTTGTCTTAGATGCCGGGATTGTCGACAGATCCAGATTTGAATCCCATAGCTCTATTCCTGGCTCAAGGCTCTGGGTCTTAAGTCTGCCAGTATATTTCTGATAAAGGCATAAGAACAAAACATGGAGTTTTATGTTTATGTAAGAAAGTAAAGCAAGTACTTCATAGTATTGTTAATGTAACACAAGTACTTTTATAAATCTCCTTGATCCCTTCCTCCACTGATGTATTTTCTGATACTGCATGTTATAAAGCTTAGTCACTGCACTGATTTTAATCAGTGTTTATGCCATTTATATCTTTAGAAAACACCAAAGCCCGCAGTAATGAATTTGCTGAAAAGAATGGACTTCAGAAATATGAATATGTCTTGCACCCAAGGACTACAGGCTTCACATTTATAGTGGAACGTTTAAGAGATGGTAATGATTCCTGGATTTTTTTTCTTTCACTGTTCTCATTTCAAAACAACTCATCTTAGATAAGGAATGATGTTGACTATTAATTACTTGTGCTGATTCTTGGAAAGATATGGCCACACCACAGTTGTCCATGCTCTGGTCTTATCTGGATGGATTACTATGATGTATTCAAAGAAATTCGAAGAAACTTTAGCTGGTTCAGAATTTGATGGCCAGGGTTGCCTGCCTTGAAGAATCTACAGTGGCTTGTAGTTTGTTTCAAGGTCACTCTAGACATTATGGCATCCGTGGATCAGACCTGCAGATGCTGTCACCATTTTAAAGCAATTTAAAAATGACACAAATTCCTGATCCTGACTGGGCCTGCAGTAGGCGGAGGCTCTCTCCATCCCACCCTTGCCCCCCTGCCTTTCCAAGTGAAAAGGCACAGGGGGAAGGGAACAAAAGTGTCTCAGGATTGGGCCCTCAAGGCATTTTTAAATCATTTTAAAATGGCAACGGCATCCAAGTGGTCTGACTTATGGATGCTGTCATGTCCAGATTGGCCCTCAGGATTCATTTTAAAGTGTTGAAAGCTTTTTAAGGCCTGTGCCAACGGTATCTGCCACCTCGTATATTAAACTGTCCATCTCTTTGGATATTGGTTGGCAGACTTAGTCCAGTTTACCCTGTCTTCTGAAACAGAACTTTCTCACTAGTGGAGGCTGGAACACCCTCACTGGAGATGCTTCCTTGGCACCTGTATGGCCATCATTTAGATGCCAGACCAGTTCATTCTCTGGCATCGTTTAGATGCCAGACCAGTTCACTCTCTGGAGTGTTGCTGCATTCTGCTAATATGAATTCAATCCAGGCTAATTTTCCACTAAAAAAAGGGGTGGGGTAGTTTCCACCGATTCCCTTTTCCTGCGGCAGACCTCCAGTTTGCTTCTCATGCTCTTCCTGAGGGTCTCCTGTTGCCCAGGAGCAGCATTTCAGGGGGATCCATGGGCTGCTATGGAGAGATGGGACAGCAAAATTACAAAGCAGAAATACACAGTAAAGCAGAAATACCAATCAAAAACTGTGTCAATGAATGAACACACCAATTGAACACAGTCTCCTCTATAATGAAATAATGCACAAAAAATAACATGTATTTGTAACAATGAACATAATAAACCACTTCCTCTACTACTGTTTGGTGGCAGTTTGGTGTAGTAATTAAGTGCGCGGAGTCTAAACTGGGAGAACCGGGTTTGATTCCCCACCCCTCCACTTGCACCTGCTGATGTGACCTTGGGTCAGTCACAAGCTCTGGTACAGCAGTTCCTGGAAGAGCAGTTTGTGTCAGAGTTCTCTCAGCCCCACCCACCTCACAGGGTGTCTGTTGTGGGGAGGGGAAGGGAAAGGAGTTTGTAAGCCGCTCTGAGACTCCAAGTGAAGGGCGGGGTATAAATCCAATCTCTTCTTTTCTTCTTCTTCTCTGTTGTGAAACACGCTGTGAACTCAAAATGGCATTCAAATACAGATATACCCCAAAGTTCATAGTGTCCACAGGACTATTAATCAAACCGGAGGCATCTCATGGCTGAAAAAATACCCAGTGATTTCTTGGTTCACAAAACTCTCAAGGCTCGAGAATTGGGGCAGATTACTGAAACGGAGCATGGATTTTTATTAAAGTTTCATGCTCACATTCCAGTGTTCTACATTCGACCTAAGGTTCATAAAGCTGGCTTGCCGTCTCCTGGTCACTCAGTTGTTTCAGCAACGGGCTCCATTTTTGAACCATTGGCTCAATATGTAGATTTTTATTTAAAACCTTTTGTTCCTTTGATACCAAGCTTTATTAAAGATACTACTGATTTAATCTCCAGGATTGAGGGTCTTGTGATTCTGTCAGATGCAGTGTTGGAAACCTTGGATGTGGGAGCTTTGTATTCGAAGATCCCACGTGATGAAGCAAGATTAGTAGCTGAAATCTTATCTCAATCAAAAAACAGATTCCGGACCTCCTACTTCTTTTTTGTTACAACTTATTGATTCGTTCTTAGAGAAAAGTTATTTCAGATTTGGTGACCAATTTTACTTGCAAGTTCGAGGGGTTGCAATGGGCAGTCCTTTTGCTCCTAGTATAGCTTGTCTGTTTGGCTTGGTTTGGCTTGGTTTGAGAAGAGGTTTATTTTTTGTGATGAGATTAATTCTTTTTTTGATTAAGATCTGTTTTTTCAAGAGATTTATTGATTATTTTTAGTGTTCACTGATTATGAACAATTTGATGGCTTTTTGGCTTGGTTAAATGGTTTGCATGATACTGTAAAGTTCACAGTGCATTATGACAAAGATTCGGTTACTTTTCTTGATACAGTGGTTTATAGAATGTCTGACAATAAATTGGCCACACGTACCTTTAAGAAACCCACGGACAGGAACACATATTTGCACTATTGTTCTTTTCACCCAGTACATTTGAGGAACAATATCCCTTATGGTCAGTTTTTGTGGGTGAAAAGAAATTCCACCTTTTGGCAGGACTTCCATGCGGATAGTGTTAGATTAAGGAGTCAGTTCCGTGAGAGAGGTTATCCATTCAACACATGATATAGCAATTGCAGGAGATAGAAGTGATTTCTTATCTAAGGCTTCCAGGTCCATCACCCAGATTTGGGATGGCATCATGTGTTCATTTGAATATTCAAGATATGCATATGGAATCAAAAAGATCAATGAACGTTATTGGCACGTGGTGCAGGATATTCAGGTTGTCAGGTGACATCTAAAATTGGTTTTAAAAGAACTCATAACCTTAAAGATTTACTTATAAAATCTGATTATTTACAAATATCGAACCAGGAACCACTCCTTAGAGGCCACTTCAAATGTTATTCCTGTGCTGTTATTCACTCATCTTTACTTATAAAATCTGATTATTTACAAATAACCTTAGAGGCCACTTCAAATATTATTCCTGTGCTGCTTGTTCTATGGCATTGGAGATTAAAGAATTCACTCATCCCACTTTGGGATTTAAATTCAATTTGACCACATTTTCTAACTGTAATACAAAAAGATGTGTGAATTGTGCCATCTGTGACTTTGGGCTTTTACATATTGGGAATACCATTAGACCTGTAAAATCAAGGATTTTGGAGCACTGATCCCGAATTCGAAACCACAATTTTGAAGCTCCACTTGTGGATCATTATATTAAGTATAAACATGAACCTGACTCTTTGCAAAAAAAATTGTATGTATTTAAAGGACATAGATATAATAATGTTGATGTAAGTAGAGTGTTGCTTCAACAAGAAGCAGATTGATTTATAAATTTAATACCATGGTTCCCTATGGCTTGAATCAACAATTGGATTACAGCTGTTTTTTGTGAATGTTTCTGTGTATATGGTTTGGGTGTAAGGGATGTAACGCACTCTCTTTCTGTGAGTGCAGGTCCCTTTAAATTTGAAAGGGTTCATTCCTTTAAAAGTTAAGTAGTGGAGAGGCTCAGTGAGCACTTGATTTGAATGAAAATGGAGAAGCAGTAGCTGTTTTGTAGGAGTAGTCAGTGATTTTTGGAGTGTAAGGTGAGTTTTGCTAAAATGTGGATTCTATGAGAGTGTGTTTCACCAGAGTTTAATGGATTTTATTGGCTGTATTTTTGTAAATACATTGTTGCAGACGAAAACATTGACTATTGGTAAAACACCAGCGAAATGCAGGAATTTGGAGCTAGCCATCGTGTGAAGTCACAAGTTGAAATCGCAAGCCATCTTTGTTTTCCTTACTACTTTGAGCCGTGTTCAAACTGGGGATCCTCTTCAGCTCTTTGCTTGCGAAGTTTTGTGAACCAAGAGATCTCCGGGTATTTTTTCAGCCATGCGATGCCTTCAGTTTGATTAATAGTCCTGTGGACGCTATGAACTTTGGGGTGTATCTGTATTTGAATGCCATTTTGAGTTCACAGCATGTTTCACAACAGTAGTAGGAGGTGGTTTATTATGTTCATTGTTACGAATAAATGTTGTTATTTTTGTGCATTATTTCATTATAGAGGAGATAATTATGGAGAGATGGGAAGCAAGAATGTTCTTTTCCACTGACAGAAGTGCCTTGTGTGAGCATAATTTAGTCTCGCTCCAACCCACTGTGCAGTACTGCTACTTTTCATATGGTGGTAAATTACAGTATATAATCCTGTGTTTATAGTATCTTTAAATATTATAAGATGCTTTGAATATTATTAATGGAAAAATGAGAGAAAACATTTTAAATAATAAAGTAAGTAAAATGGAGATATGGCATAAGAATATGGCCCAGTTTGGTTACTTCATAGGTAGAATTTTTGGATCTGTTCCCTCAGCCAATTCCCCCCCCCCCCGTTATCTAGGCCAACTTTTTTGTTAGGTTACATATGTATGTTACAGGGGTCTTCTGAGTATTCCACTGCAAACCCAAATCTCTCTCTACAATGCCACAGCTTTCTGAAGCATTTATTTCAAAGATCTGGTGTTATGATGGGCCTTTCATATTGAAATTTGACATGCACAGCCAATTCTTATTGACAGGAAAAAACACCATCCTTCCCCAATTTACTAGAGTGAATTGGTGGCTGCAAAACATTTGCAAAAGTTTTTACCACTAGGGCACATTTGTTTATTTACTTCATTGTTCCTTGCCTTTTTATATAATGGAGGTCCAAAGCATCTTACATCATTCTCTTCTCCTCCATTTTATCATCACAACACAAGGTAGGTTAGGCTGATTTTTCCATCCTTCATTTTACAGTTGAAAATGATTACAAAATTAATTTTGCTATGCTAGTAATACTGACTATAGCTCAGGCCATTTGGAAGGATAACAGAATTAAACACATGGGAAAGTTACATCCAGGTTATGGTGGCAAAGATTTCAATATCTATATCTTTGCAGACTTTTTTTCCCCTTGTGCACAGATGACAACCTTAAATGCCTCATGTTTTTCTGCGAATAAATTTTGGCTTGTGGCAGTTTCCATTCCT